ATGTTCTTCCTGCAAAGAGACACAGTGACTTTATGCGGAAATTGTTCTGAACCAGTTCTTCGGCCGAGTCTGCATACGATCTGCTTTGCTTCTCTCTGCTTTTTTTCCCTCCCCAAGCTCTATTTCTCTGAAGTAGTGAGCAGTGTCAGTCCAATTCAAGTGATCAAACCCTCTTCTCCCCTAGGGAAACCATCTCTGTGAATTGTTAAATTGCTTGACTAAACTCAGCAAGTAATTTTGAAGCAGCCTTCCAGTTCAGCTGGGAATCCTAGGCTAAGGTGCTCAGACTAATATAGGTCAGTCTAGGTTGTTCTGACTCCATAGCTTTTGCACTGTTTGCAACAGCTCTTTACTTCATTGGATCTTTAGTGCTTGTTATGCTCTTTTCTGCCTCTTCTTCCTTCCCACTTCTTTTATTTAGTCAGGCAAAATGCTGTAACTGCTTTAAGTGCTTTAGGCCTGAAAGGTTGAGCAAACTCTTAAATGAGTAGATAATGTAATATTATGATTAATAGTTTTAAGTATCTGTATGCTTCTCATTTTAGCAAGGCAGCTGCCTGCATATTATAGTTAACCAACCTTTGAGCATGTATAACTTACTCTTGTATTTTCTTTAGGTATTTGAAAAGATTTAAAGTGATGAAAATCAAAGTGCTACGAAGCTGGTGCCGTCAGATACTGAAAGGCTTGCAATTTCTACACACGCGCACTCCTCCCATTATCCACAGAGACTTAAAATGTGACAACATCTTCATTACCGGCCCCACTGGATCCGTCAAGATTGGAGACCTGGGTCTGGCGACTCTGAAACGAGCTTCTTTTGCCAAAAGTGTGATAGGTAAGTCCCTCTTGTCCTACAGGCTGGCAAGCCAGTCCACCTACTTGGAAACTTGAGTCTTTTAAGAAAGTTTTTAAAGGTACATGGTCAAAGTACCCAAAAGTGCAGGCTTTGTTCCTGGGCTGTTGAGGTCATTCTGTGTTTCTAATGAGATGATATGCCAAAGTTACAGTTGTGCTTTTGTATATTGACATGATAAGTATTTTGGAATATATATTTATTCTCTTGCCCAATGGTTTAGTGCAACATTGTTGATAAAACCACTCTTGCTTCACTACATGTAAATCCGAGCAATGTTTCTTCAAGCAATGTACAACTGTGTTTTGGTGACATAGCTTCTCTTTCTAACAACCTGTCAACGTTTAGGCTAGCATTAATTTATATAGCCAAATTCTTTGGGTTGTCACCAGGCGTCAGTATTCCATCTGTTACACTTTAGTTTGCACAGAGGCAGAAACTAAAGTTATCAAAGAAAGTCAACTAAAACTACTAAATAGGAGGGTAGTAATATGCTGTCACCTTTGGGAAGTCCCTAGAATGTGGATTTCTGTAAGTTAGCAGGATATATTGGGGAAGTATTGCCTTATGCTTGCTCTGTTCTCCTCCTTAAACATTCACTAATGGCCTGTGGCAAATGGCTATTGGGTGGATGGAAACAGTCTAGTCATTCTTGTGACTCTTCTAAAGAATCGGTTTTATCAGCTTTGTTTTTATAGTTGTTTCAATAGGCTGCAGGGATTGAAGTTGTTCTTCATGCTCCTAATGTTTAAAGCTTGCTAAAATGCAAATTTGCTCAACAGTCCTATATTGAAATCCTTGATGGGATGAATGATAAACACCTGTAAATCGTCTTGCGAACTATCACTAAAATATTTCCTGCTTCTTAACCAGGTGGAACTATTAATAGAAATGAAATATATACTGTATTGATAAATTAAATTTTCTTAAACATCTTAAACATACTCGTCTTATCCTTAAACTTTTAATTGGAAGATTACCACTTCTTATCTTGTTAACCATCAACGGTTAGCTTTTGGATAACTGACTACAATTACATTCTGTTTTGGTGTAGCATGGTGAAAACAAGCAATGTGGTTATATTGAATGATCTGCAAATTGTCTTGAATCTGGTATCTGCAGGAAATAATTCTGTGCTTAAATTTGCGAAAAGCAAACTTGCATCTCTGGCTTAAAGTAAATCTGATCATACAATGCCATCTCTTTGCTTACAGAGGGGGGTGCTCTGATGCTTCACTGGGCAATAATTTTCTGCAAACTATTTAAATGGGACTTGTTGAATCTCACGCTCTGTGCCTGTAACTCAATCTCTCTGTATTTCTAAGTATTTTTGACTGTAGGATGTCCCTCACTAATGCCTGTATCTGCAGTAGGCCTATAAATATACTGCAGGTGGGAAGGTAAGTATATGAAGAAAAGGGCTCTGGTGAGTGGCCTTTGCAGAAAATTACTTTTTCTTCTTTCTCATGAAGATTTATATTTTTAAGAGTTTTTCATTGCAAGGCCTTTCCTGAACCATTCTACTTAAAAAAGTAAGTGATGAGCACGAGGTCAGAGACTAGCTGTGGGCTCTTACCAATGCTATTTCTTTTGCAGTGGAGGACCGTCAGGTAATTTTTGAAACAGGTTTAATATACCTCCTTTTTTACAGGTAGAAAAGGTAAGTGTCTTAACTCTCCTTAGTATTTGGTTTGCAGCCTATGGCTAGTCTGACTGTTTTCCCCTCTTTCTATCCCCACCTCTCCATTTGACTCCAGCTGGATGCAATCTGTTTTGATAATGGCATTGACTAACATGCGTAAAGCAGGAATTGCCTCAGCACTTCTGTGACATTCTTATTCCATAAAGGCCTTGCAATGCAAGACTCTCAAAGTATGTCGATGCAACAGAGTGACTAAGGGTTTCCTCCCTCTTCTTTTTGCCTCCACTTTCTCTTGTCTCACAGGTCTGCCCAGCCGCTTCTTCCTGCGGTGAGTAACGCCAGCAGCCTCTGCTCGCTTTGAGACATTTAGAGTCTGAATCGTTCTTTTAATTTAAGGTACCCCAGAGTTCATGGCCCCCGAGATGTATGAGGAGAAATACGATGAATCCGTTGATGTATATGCTTTTGGGATGTGTATGCTAGAGATGGCCACGTCTGAGTATCCTTATTCTGAGTGCCAAAATGCTGCGCAGATCTACCGACGAGTGACCAGTGTAAGTTCCTCCCCCACTTCAGATTTTAAAGCTGCTACAGCTGGCAAAGGAGCATAGCTGGCTGGCTTGGCACTGCACAAGAGTGGGGAGAAAGACAAGCTGACAAGGGCTTGCGGGACAGGAATGGGTTGGAGGGGAATAAAATGATTCAACTTACCAAACAGCCAGTCAGAAGCTTGTAAAAAAGTGAATGGAATTAAAATTCCGTGTGTGTTAATACTTCCTCAGTATATAAGTAGGTAATGCATAAGGATTTAAAGAAAAAAAATAAAAAAACAAGCAAAACACCAAACCAGACAATTTTTGAAACTCTTGTGACTCTGAAAACGCTGGGTAAGTGTTTTGGTCTTGGAGATTACCTGGTAAGTTTGTTCACTGGAATAAAGCTGGATCACACATTCAAAACACTATGGCTTAGCTGCTTGCTGAGGCAAATCCTAAGTTGTTCCTTAAAATGATTTTAAGTTAATAGTTTACAGAATTCTAAGTGATCTCCAGTTGCTATGTGTCAGGTGCACTTCTCATTAGGCAGTGGAAATACTTGGTAGATAGAAGGCAAGTGCTTCACACAGGAAAAGGCTGATAAGTGCAGTGGTGTAGGTTGTGCTAGTAAAACCAAATAAAGGTGACAGAAGAAGCAAGAGATTTGAATTTGCTCATGTGACTAGGCTAAGTGGGACCTGCAGACCTTGGACTTAAGAAGGCTACAATGCTAAAAATATTTAAGGATGTTTATGGATAGACTTACTTTGCGGTCTCTAAAATAGTGTCATGAAAACTACACCTGTGCGGGAAAGAAAACTGAATGTGTTCAACGTTCTCATCTAAGCATTCAGAAAGAGTAGTGAGGTGGCCGCTTGGAAAAGCAAAGTTTTTTTTTTTATGTTGGCATTTCCAAAATGTGTGTGTACACATGCACAGGAGGATAAGGATGTTACTTTATCCACAGACAGGAGACCAAGTATTCCCATTTGTCTGTGTATTATCTTTAAGAATTTGAGGATTTACTAAAAAGACTTGCTTAGCTTTGGAAAAATAGAATACTCCCTTTTCCTGATGCCTAGCATTATAAAAGACAGACATAATTGCTGACTACAGTTAGTAGTGAATTACGAAGGTAGGCTTGGTGAAATAAGAGAGGTTTCCCCTTGTTTGAAGGGGAATATAGTAGAGGCACAAGAGCTGGAGGAAAAAGAAAGGAAGAATTTTTTTTTGTACGATAGTGAACTGCCATCCATAATTTTCTAAACTGAGAGAAACAAGGGTAAAATCTAGCCGTTGCTCTGCTTACAGCAGAATCTGATCTCTGAGCTATCTTGATCAGTGAAAGAAGAAAAAAGCCCATAAAAACAGTTTTAGTGTTATCCTTTGGTATGTGCATCTTACCCAGAGCCGAAGAAACGTTTTTGGTGTAGAACTGGTGGATGTGTTTTCTTGGAATAGGGTAGCAGGTGAGGTGGATCCAACTGCCCTGCCTTTCCTTAGAAAGTGCTAGGATCTGAGTTGTGGAGAGATGAAACTGCTCATGAAACATTTTGGGGCTTGGAAGTGCCCGAGTCTTAATGAGCTGCTGGTTTGCAAAGTTCTTAGCAAGTAGAAGGTTTTAGAGGGACTGTTAGCAAACAAACTTACCTAAAAACTTACCGTAATTGAACTTAACCACTTCTTTGTTATAATTTTGGCAATCTTGATAGATCTTTATTTCCCATCATTTTTGGTCAACTGTTGAACTTCTGAGTAGATGAGAAACACTGAGTGGTCCTGCATATTGTTCAAAACAGGGTGAAATTCTGTTATTGGGTCGCTCTGAGAAGAGTTTCTACATCACACTTCTATTGATGATACAAAAATTGCATTTAGATTTGAATTCTTGAGCTTTTCATCCACCACTTTTGAGTGGTGTGAAATGAAAAAAGTACTTCTTGTTTCCTTTCCCAAGGAAAAAAGAATGGTAAGATAAAATGAAGCATATGTGTGTCTACATCTAGACTAGGAGTAAAGGCTCTGTTTTAGGGTATTTGGTTTGTTTATCTTAACATCAGAGAAGAATTTCCTAGTTAAAAACAAAACAAAAACAAAACTTAAATAGATTCAAAGGAATAATTTTTATGAAGAAGAGAGAGCCGTCTTGGGGAATAAAGCACAAACCCATCTTAACTGAGCTTGGGGAATTCGGGGTTTCTTCCATAACACAAAATGCAGGACCATGTTATGAAAGTGGAATGAAATACTGTTTGTATCCTTTTTTTTTTTTTTTTTAACCACTCCATGAAAGCTCTGCAAACCTATAGAAAGGCCCTTAAAGTTTTCTGTCCTTGTTCTTTGTTTAAGAAAACAAAGTTTTCTTACTGTCTTTCAAAAAAGATTTTAGGAGGTTTCACACTATGTATAGCTGTGGGTGAACCAGCCAAGAAATTCAGTACTTAAAAGTACAGTATATAAATCATCAGTGGCAGAATGTAGTCAGAAAGCTGCCTGTATGGGTGCACTTTGGGAGCATGGGGAGTACTTGCCAGTGCATTTCCTTCTCTACTTCCAGCATAAGTTAACCTGGCTTTGGAAGCTGACAGCATTTCCAAGTGAACTCTCCAATCTGTTACTTTGCTAGTAATGTTTAGGAATATTTTGAGGTAGGAACTGTAGCATTGTTGTGCCTCAAATTACAGGGTTATTTTTATCCAGGAGCATACAGAAAGACCTGAAGGAAAGACAGTAGTGATGGGCTGGTGAGAAGACATGTCATGTAGGAACTAAAAACCACCGAACCCTCAAAGGCAGTAAGATCAGGTTGTGCAGCGACACTATGCAGGATATAGGTATTTAAATTGATTTTCTTCTCCCCCTTTTCTATGCAACATTAGGCTTAGTACAAAGGATAGTTGCTCCGTTACCTTAAATTCTGGCTATTGTTTGAGTTAAAAACTAGTAGAAGGTAACTCAGTTTTCAGAGCATCATCTCAGGACTAGACTCAGTACAACAGACTTAAATTCTTCTCTCCCGTTTTGTTCATGCTTTGGTTTCACTTCCTTCTTTTGTTATTGCTCTAATTGACGCCCAGATGGGATGTAGCATTACTTACAATATTCAGTTATGCATCGTACCTCTTCTGGTCAGGATGTTCCCTATTTCGAGCAGTTTTCTAATTAAATAATGGAGTTAGATTTGATACCCAGACATTTGCTTACCTAAGGGCTGAAGTTCCTTCTTGAGTTAAGATGTTCTTTAGCCCAATTTCCGTTGCTTTGTCTCTTGAAAACAGGATGGCTGTGCGAACCCAGGGTTTCCAAGATGACTCTTTGCTGTTCACATTACCACAGTGAAGTTTCAATTTTTCTTTAGCAAAGGAGTGTTAGGGCAATGATGTTCCTGAATTTTCCCTGTCCCAAGAGAAAAATACGAGATTTTATGGCACGTGTTGAGTAGAAAGATTCTTCTTTCAGTAGAAAAACCTGGATACATGCCTAGTTTTAAATAGCTGCTTATAGTTTTTAGGGATCAAGGTATTAAGTTATAGTTGTTTTGCAGTTCTGGTAGAGACCCGGCAGATGTTCGTGACAAAGGACTTGCACCCTCCAGTGTGCTCCATCATGGCCCTTTCACTAGCAGCTTCTTTTGAATGGAAAATGATCTCTGCATGTCTTCACACTCAAGCATAAAGGAGCTTGAGTTTCTTTAGTTTTGCCAAATCACAATATTGCAACTTCATCTCCAAAAGAACATGCTTTCTTCTGTAAAACTATACTATACTTTGGAAATGGTTCCAAATATTATTTAAAAATATTACAATTCCTGTATTTTTTTTTACCTTACTGTTTAAAACAAACAAAACACCTCCAAGATTTAAGCACTCTTCCTCTTCATCTAGGTTTGCATATATCCAATGGGAACTTACGCTTCGGTGAAAGCACCTAGGCCTGTACTTAACTGAAAATGATGGGCTGCACTATTAAGGTAGCCTTGACTGTCCCCATGATTTCTCTCTCTCGCCCCAGGTCCGTGCAGAGGCAGCTGTTTGTTTAGGTGCCTCATGCACTCCTGGGTTAGCGACCAGGCAAGTCTTCATCACATCACAGCAATTAGAGGTAGTTACAGTACCAAATGTAGTAAAGATGTGAAATTCTGTTGTATACTCTCTGGCACACACACAAAAAAAGATTTGCTAAAACTTCAGAAGGATTTTTGATCTGTCTGCTTTGAGTCCTCTCTGTGAAACATTATTCCTCCGTTGACTGGTTTTATGCATATTTATGTTAATTTTTCACAAGAACCATTTGGACTGTATATAGAATAAAGTAGAGATATAGTTGTAGAATGAATATCTCTAATTTCTTAAGTTAGCCTGTTTGAGAAGCAGTACATTGGAGGCACAACTACAGTAGCTTCAGTTGCTTTTTCTGAGACCTTGAGACCTATGTAACCCCTGTTGTTGCTCTAAAGGCTAAGTTGGTATTTTTTGCTTCTGTTATGGCCACCACTTTCAGATGCAGTGTAGACTTCATTTACCTCTATACCGTATTTCTTTTGAGCTTTTCTCAACACAGAGGTACAGTTTTCCCAATTTCCAATATTTGGATGGTAAGTCTTACATTTTCCAGGTGGTTTATTCTTCTGCCACTAGTCTAAACATGATTAACAAAGTTTATTAGGCAGATTTAAATCATATTTGTCACTGAAACAAAAATCCAAACATACTCATTCCGTAAAAGCTAGTAAGAACTGTCCTCAGTTTGAAATATACTGCTCATCTAAACAGAGTATGAATAGAAAACTTTCTGCCCACATTGTAGAAACATTCCTTTTAATTTTCTTCGTAGACTTACATATACATGTGTATATATATACACTCTGCATATGAATATATATAAAGAATGAAAAAAATATATATATAAAAAATACATACCTTTATTTTTCCATGCTTTGTCAAAGTCCAATTTTGTCCTTGCTTTTGCCAGAAATCCAGTCTCCTACTTGTAAATGAAAGTCTACCTTCTGGCTGGCC